GGATTAAGTCTGTGAGGAATTGAGATCTAGCATCAGCTATTTGTCTAATTAATAGATAAAAGCTTGCTTTGAGTAGATCTTGTTTTCTGTCTGCTTCTTTAATGACTTTGCTGAACTAGAAGTTTTGAAGATGTTCTTTAAGAAAATTAAAGAGTTTTCAGGACATTTCTGTTTGTAATTTTGTGTAGTTTTGCATTTCATCAGTAACTAAAAACTTTGCTAAGAAGTCATATGATAGGTTAAGTTTAGTTCTTGTTGTTTGACTATAAGATTGAGTCAGTTGAGATTGTTGGAATAGTTTTTTATTAGGCTGTTGTTTGTGTAAGAGTGGTGCAGCTTGATGTAAAGGTTGTTGTTGTTGTAGTTGTTGTATTTGTTAGATTTGTGGTTGTTGTTGTGGTTTAGGTAGTGTAGTAGAGCTATTAATGTTCATATCATTGTTAGTAAAAGTTGTTTCTTCAAAGTTAGATAGAATAGGAACAAGTTCTGAAACAAGAGAATTGTTTGGATTTTGATCAAGTAAAGAAGTAACAAGCTGTTTAGTTGGAAGTTTATATTGTGAAGATGGGTCTTATTCAGGGTTTTCAGTAGGTTGGAGTTTGTATTGATTAGCTAAAATTATTTTTTTATAAATTTCAACTAAGCAATTATTGTGATATGCTGTATTTTAATAGAAGGTAGATTCATTTTGTAGTGCATAGTTGTTATTAGTCACTTTACAGTTAATGTGAGTTTGGCATTTAGGACAAATATGTATATGAATAGTGGCTGTAGAAGATGGTGAAACTTGAGATTTAGATTTTGCAAGTGCTTGTTGGAGCTTTTTGACTTGTTTGTTGGTTGTTGTTTTATTGGTTTTGCTAATAAGTTTATATATTTTATTGTTTTCTGCAATGAATTTAGTATGGAATAATTCACACATGCACTTGATTATTGCAGTTGTTGCAGGAGCAGAAAAGAAATGAGTTGGTGAATAAGATCTAAGTTCTATAGTAATATATTTGATAGGTCTGTATTTGTCTGGAATAGTTCTTACTTGTACAGATTCATTTTTATAGATAGCAATATCATAAAAGCTTATATGATTCTTGAAGAAATAATCAAGATCTAAGGTATCTGATGCTTTTGTGCTAAGAGTAATCATAGTGCTATAAGTTTACTTAGAAGTCAAAATTTAGGTTACTTAGTAAAATTTTTTGTAATCTTTAATTAAAGATTTTTAAAAGTTTAATTATAATATAAATTTAATTGCAGGGTATAATTTGTATTTGAAGGAGTTTGACTATAACTACAGCAGCTGCTACAACTTGTATAACCTTATATAATCTAGGTGACATGAGTTTGTGGCTGGTGTGGCTGGTATAGCTAGTATGACTATTGTAGACAAATTTAGAAATAGTTGAGTATTATAATAACTATTGTGTAATTGAATGCAAAATTTATTTTTACCAAGTTAGTACAAGATAATTTGTAACAAATAAATTTTTTTTTAGATAAATTTAATTTACATAATATAAAATTAAATGAAACCAATTTTAGAAATAATTTGAGGTTACATGAAAAATGTTTTAGAGAAAAAATTTGGGGATAAGGACAAAGAAATAGAAAAAAAGAAAAATAAACTACAGAGGAGTTAAAGTTGTTTTCTATTATAATTCTGTTAATTTTAGACCTACAAGCTTTTTTTTGGCCTTGTTTTGATTGAAAGGCAGTGTTTTACAATTTTTTATATGACTGTAAAATAGGTTAATAAGATGCTTTATGAAAAATAATTAAAAGTTTAATAGTGAAGGCCAAAGGCTGTTTTTGCAGTATTAAACTGCGAGTTTGAAAGTTATAAACTTGAAACTTTTAAAATATATGTAAAATTATGAGCTGAACAAGTTTTTTAAGACACCAAAGTTAGTTATCTTAGTAAAATAACCAAATAGTAGGATTTTAGTACTGACAGATTTTTAGTTATTTTGTGTAAAAAGGATTTTTGTTTTATTTCAAATTATACAAAATTATTTTAAATAAAATATTAGACAATCATATGAATGATTTTGAAATAAAAGATGTATACTCCAAAATTGTTAAACAAATATCTATAGGTTGCAGACTTTTATTACTAAAAATTGTAATACTAAAACCTAGTAATCTATCTAATTGTAATGATAATATTTATACAATATATAAAATATATTATGACAACTTGCTTTATAATTGTAATAAACATCTCTATATTGCATATGTCCAAGCAATTTTGAAAGATTAATTTCTTATAAGAAAACTTATAATGATATTTAACTTCTTTTAGAACAATAACATATATCTAAAAACATGTATTGCATTTTAATTATAACCTTTTTTAGATATAGAATATTTAACCTTACAATGTTTCTCAGAGTACAATATTTGAACAAGTTTGAGCATATAGTAAATTATTTAATTACATGTTATGTTCTAGAATTAATCTGAATTACAATTAAGATTGTATTATATTAGCATATCAAAAGAGAAAAAAAAATAATGATTAATATTTTGAATAATAACAATTACTTAATAAAAGTGTAATACTTATTTTTTTATTAGATGAAATATTTTATAAGCTATAAAATTGGAATTAAGAAAAGAAATTACAGAATGCAAATAATAAATTTGATTACATTTACACCTTTTTTTTTTGCAACTAAAAAGTTTAAGTATGCAATTTCTGTAATACATTTTTTGTTTTAGATTTATAATGATTTACAGTTGTAAAAATTATTACAGTTAATATGTTTAACAAATCTTACAAATAAAGAATATTATTTTAAGTTTGATGAAGTACTTGAAATATACAATATAAAATTTATTAAACAAAACATTACCAATAATGTTACCAATTAGCAGACTATAATGTTAAAAATCAAAGCAACCCAAAATGAAAGAAATCATCTATCAATGCTTCTTGTCAAATATATTAATGATGTTATAATGAGTCAAAATACTTATGCAATCAAGTTATACAAAGATTTACTATAATCTTTTGTTGAAAAGTTAACATTTATCTTTAACCATCCAAATCCTACAGAATATTATTTGTTCAAAAATGTATCAGAAATTAATAAAGAGAATATTAAAACTATTCTTTCTTTTTATGAAACTGATAAATTATACTTCCAAAAAATACTTGAGAAGGATGTATATAAAACCAAACCTTGAACTTCTAAATATTATATACAAAATGTAAATTGTTATTTTTTTTTGAACTTAATCTTAAGAATATAAAAAACAAAAAAAATTAAACAGATAATTCTGCTCAGAGATTGATTGTTCAACAAAGTACTTCATGATCATAACAAACATCAACCAACCCATTAAAATGATTACATTGTATTATCACAAACATGAAGAAAGATATACTTGCACAACTATTTAAATTTGAGAACAGTATGCCTGATGCTGAATTTCTGAAAGTATTAACAGAACTTCAAACTGTTTCTTCAGATTGGACTAAAAAAAGAGTTAAAACATATTGAAAAAATAACTGGCAAAAGAATGTTTAAAAATAAAATAGTATTCGTTATTATTCATATACGACAAATAAAAAAAAACATTAAATATACATATTTCCTCTAAATTCACATAACAACATTTTTTTTGTATAGGTCTTGTTAATCTGAATTTCAAGACTTTAAAACAAAATTAATAAATGCGATTAAAATTTTTCGAATGCTGTTTGTTGCATGTAAGTACCTTTACCTTATAGAGTGGTCTAAAAGACCCTCTATTATAATACTTCACACAATTTTTTGAGACCTAGAATGTTTGTATCTGAGGTATTAAAGGTAGTAAATTAAATTGGAATGCAAAATACCTGGGGTACTAAAAATGAATTAATTGCACTTTGAATATAAAATAATGTATACATATAGTGCAATTTATACCTCCCAGCTATACCTAGGATCTCCCTGACTATAATACCTGTATATATGGACTAACTTGTAAAGATTAGACCACACTATACGGTGCTTACTATCTGAAAAGATTGTAATTAGATGCTGCCATAAGAAAACCTGATTTTGGTATTTTAAGCTTATAATTTACCAACCTCAACCTTTAAAAATGTTGTATAATTGAATCTAATAAGTTATTAAGTTAAAAAACCAGAGTCAGGTTCCCTTTGGCAGCACTCAATTAGTTTTTAAATTCTTGCTGATCTCTTTAAACAAAGTAGTACTTTTTGATTCCAAATTAACCCTTTAATTTGTCTTATTAATACAGCACCTTCTAACAAACATTCTAAAACTCATACTAAAGTGCCTTTCCACTATTAATAAAGTTTGTAATGCTCTTTATTTGTAACTGTTAACAAAGTAAAATTAACTTTGATTTACAGTATTTAAAAGAAAATCTTAACATTTATCTAAAAAAATTGCAATTTTTAGATTAATTTTATTGGGTAAACAGTAAAATAAATATAGACTTTTTTTATATAAAATAAAAGCACAAACTCCAAAGATAAAACTTGTCTAGAGATAAAACTATTATTATTATTTTATTAGTTAAAATATTTCGAAAAGAAGTCACATCAATTTACATTACACAAAAATTTTTACTAGTAAAATTATTAAAGAGTGACTGTTAATGTAACAGTAATTATTAATATCGATATCATTTTTAATTTCGAATACAATAATGTGATTTATTTTAATTTTGATTTGTGTTTGTATCTCTGGTGTTTACAAATAGAATTTTCTTTAAAGTTCACAGGCAAATTTGCCTGTCCAACAATTATTATATTTACAATTACATAGAATTAAAAACCTGTTATTATATTTAATTTGTAGATCTGACTTTTAGCAAATCTAGCATTACCACCAATCAGGAGCACAGTTACGGGATCTTCTGATCTGTTATTATCTCCAATAACATTAATTTTCATTATGAACTTATTACGTATATTGTAGTTTATTGTTAATAGTTTTTTTTATTACTTATTACAAATTTTTTTTAATTAAATATTATTATTTACAATGGAAAATAAAGATTCTTTACAAACTTGTAATAGGTGCAACTGCACATGTCCACTTAAAGATTTTATTGTGGATGAAAGTAATATTCGAGCTCGATGTATGACTTGTCATATTAATACTTCACAGGCAAAAAAGCGAAAGCAGCAAGAAATTAATGATTATATAGTCAAAAAAGAAAACATTATTAACCTCTTCAATGTTACAGATTTCATTTATTACATACTTTTAGAATATAAAAACTTGAATGATAATCTTGAATGGCAAACCCCTTTTCAACTTAAATTCGATATTGATCTGGATTCTATTTATGAAAACATTTCAACTGATATTATTGCAAAAGAAAAAAACATATATATTGCTGATTTGGTAATTAATCAAATTAGCAATAGAGATGGATATATATATGTGTTTAACAAAACATATAGTAGTAAACATTCTGAATTTACAACATTAGTATATTAGTGCAATGCTCAAAAAGGATTGTGTAAAAATCAAAAGAAGGTTGAGGACATTTCAAAGCAATGTAATAATAAGCCTTATATTGAACATTACGAATGCAAAGGCCTAATTACAGTTAAAATTTATTCACAAGATAAAGTGACAGTTAATGTGTCTCATAAAATTTTATATCCATAATTAGAAAAGATTAGTGTAATAGAAAAAATCAAAAGTTATATAAGTTCCTATATTGGGCAAAGTGTACTAAACATTTATCAATCGATTAAAGACAAATATATAAATGGATATAAACTTTTAACTATTAAACAGGTTTATTTTTGGTGGTCATCAATTCTACAAAAAGAATATCGGCATTGTGATAATGAACTTATTTCTGCAAAAACTTTTCTACAAGATTACAAGCAACAAATTCTTTTTTTTAAAAATTATGCTTTTGCTTTTGTAACTGCTTTCTTTAATATATTGTCTCTGGATAAATTAATGGAGCTCATGGTCGATGTGACCTATAATACTAATAGAAATAAGTATGAGTTATATAGGGCTATGGCAATTGTGAATGGTGCAGGGTTCTCTATTTCTTATTTATTTTTAATATCAGGAAAAAATCATAACATTACCAGTATCATTACTGAATGGTTCATAGCATTAAAAGTATAGCAATTAATCAATGTGCAAATTTTTTATACTGATAAAGATCTATCACAAATAAATGCAGCAAAAGCCACTTAGACTAATATTAAGATGCAATTATGTTTATAGCACGTTATTTATACTATAGAGTAAAAATTATCATCGAAAACAAAGATTCAAATGATAAGATACAATGCTGTTGAGACACATAAACTGTGTACAATTATTGACCCTTTATGGCAACTAGCTCTATCTTCATATGAAGAAAATGTGTATAAATCAAAATCAGGATTTCAACTTGCTAATAAGAAGATTCACATACATATAAAAAACTTTATCAGAAAGCATTTTAATCAGCACATATTAATTCCAAAAGAAGATGGTACATTTGTAAATGATCGACAAGTAATTTGGATTGAATGTGTCACGAAATATATCAATATTGTCATAAAAATGACCTAATCATAGTATGGACATATATTTAAAATAAATAATATTCTTTAAAACAATGGGTTCTTTGGGTCTGATCATCATTTGAAGAAATTGGGATTTTGCGTACAGCTATGATAGTCAAATCACATTAGAGGCTCTTGAAGAGAGACCACCTTTATAAATTTAATCATCCTCACCTGGATCTTCTATATTTTATAATCATAAAAAAGGTATTTATTATATTGTATTTAGCATTTTATTAATTCATAAACTATTTTTTATTTATTTATTAATTTAGGTTATCGCATAGCAAATCGATACATTTAAATTATTATGTTATGGGCATCAACTCACATCATGGTAAAAAGAATTTCAGAAAGAATGGAACTTGTTAGTATCACAGTCTTGTGACTTTAATAAATATTTAACGAATCATACATACTGGATTTGCTTGTGCCCCTATTTTGCAACAAACAGATTTTTTTTATGTAAACATTTAGTTATTCCAACTGGTTCAAAGCCAAATGCATTTTTTTATCAAGTGTGTATTATTTATTCATAATGATAATTACAAAACTAAAACCTGATAAAACTAATTTACTCAATAAATATTAACACTAATTTAGGTTTTTCGCAATTTCAAATATCCTTTAATTTCAGTATTGTCATGCAATTCTTGGCAGGAAATTCGATTAACTTGCAATCTTGATAACAAACTTAATAACGATTATCCAATCAATAATGATTTTAGTAGCATTAATGAAATTAATAAACCCTCTACTATAAATATGACACAAGAGATTTATGAAACAAATGATGATTTTATGGATGAAATTGAGCAAAAACATTCTTGACTGTATCAAGTTTTAAACAAGATAGTGTTTATGTTATATTACTTTGTTGAATTATTAATATTTATATATGATATTAAATTAGACACAACATATCCTTAACGAATTTAAGTCTTTTCATAACCAGCAAAGATTTCTTGAAAACATGGAATCCAAACTAGTCCCACTTGAGACATTTGTTGAAGACATTTTGAAACATGAAAAAAGGCATACATTGCCACAAACTTGGAAGGATAATAATAAAAATACGCAGTATTATGGATAAATATGTTATAAATATGTACTGAAATGCTTTACTTTCAAATATAGTTTTTTTAATGTGAAAGTTTTATGAACAGGCAGTTTAGTGAACATGAAATATATCTTTATGTTAGTTTTACTGCGCAAAATTATCTTTACTTTGTAGTATGTATACATATGTATTACATATACAGTATATTTGCATATATAAAATCGATATATAAAATTTATTATAAGTTGTCTCGATAATCATGTGATAGTTCGGAAGATCACCTGACTGTGCCTTCGATTGTCGGTAACGCTAGGACTTTTCTGACTTTTTAATATAAAAAATCAAATTATAAAAAGTTTACAGGCAAATTTGATAAGAAAAAATAACTTTATAATTTCTTTTACGTACTCAAACTACTATATAAATACAAAATAATAATTATAAGAAGTTAGTTAATAAAAAAATCCTCTAAACTTATTGTTAAATAATGTTTTAAAATAAATATAATTTAAGTAACAGACCAAAAAAGAAAAAATGTACCGTTTAGATAGTATACATAAGTATATACAGAAGATTTATAACAAAAATAATGATTAATAAAATGAATGATTAAAAACTTAAATGAATAATCTCTTAGTATATTATAAATACATATAACATTTAGTATAAAACCTTAAAATGGATAATTTAAAATAGAAAACTAAAAGTTATATATGTGATTAGTTGTATTTTCATCTCTGTAAAAATAATTGTAATAACTAACCAAATAAAAATACTGCTATGAAGTATGACCTTTAACAATAAAGAAAAACATTATAAACCCTTTGAAATAAATTTATCAAGTCTAATATATTGTAGATTATATTGATTAAATTGAAACACCTTTTATGTAACTTCCGAATTAACTTGTACTCGTGGCCCGAATTCATTTTGTGCGCTCTTAAAAATTAGCCAATCATGATAAAACCCGCTATGCTCGCAGAAGCATTTCTTCTGCGTAACACCTGGTCTTGAAATATGATTGGCCAGCGAACCTTTTTAGGTTAGAATAGTTAGCAAAGCTAGCAGTTTGATTGTTAATATTATATAGATTAGAAGCATTTGGCCAAAGTTTGAATATCAGCCATTTGCTATTTTGGGCGGCCAAAGGCCAAAAAAAGTGTTTGTCCACAAGAAATTGCCACACTATTACGTATAAACGAAGTTATAATGCATGGATATGCACAGATTTTATAATTTTAAAATCTTAATGCACAGAACGTTATTGTGTATATAGATTAAAGGTGAGGATATTATAGTCAACTAAGGTCAAATCGGCTATAAACACCAATGGTATCGAGCACCTGAACTATTTTTTACGTACGTACGTACGCCAGCACAATTTGGTACACAGTTGATATTTGGTCAGTAGGGCGTATATTTGCAGAATTAATGTTACGAATACCATATCTTCCAGGGGATACAAATTTTGGACAATTACGGAAGAGGATTGGTCAGTGTGAATTTGCAGATAGTATAATAGGGCACCATTAGAAAAACTTTTTACAGCAGCAAAACATGACGCGATAGATTTACTGGAAAGATGTCACAGAACGCGATTTTAGAAGAAAATATTTCATTGTACCCTTTTTTTTTGTTTTTATCCAACAACAATCCAATATATTCTTATTGTTTCAGGCTCTGCTTCACCTATTTTTGAAATAAACCAAGCCTACCACACCGGAAAATTACCGAACAAGTGTGAAAATCACAAAATTCTAAATGAAGACATACTCTTCTTGTTAGGATTGAAACATGGCATGTTTTTTTTTGTTTTAAAAATAAAGTAGTACTCTGCAATAATAAAATAAATATAGAACGTTAAGATTAATCTAAACCATATTATAATAGTAAACAAAATGAAAGCGGTCAAGAAGAAATTACGTTGTACTATTACATTGTGCTTAGTTTTTTGGCTTTATTCATCGGTCAATTATCAACATCTTGTTGGTGAGATTGTAAATCCAATAATTTGTTAAACAAAGTTTGATGAAAAATTTCACTGAATTTAGGACTTGTGGTTAACAATAATGCATCCATAGTTTCAAAAGGGTGATTGATCCATTTGTTGACAGTTTCTAAAGCTATATTGTTGACCTCATTAGCAGTAGGATATGGGATCGCGTCCGTAATCTATATTGCATAAGTAATGAATTCCGGAAGGTTGGTTTTTGAGTAGAATGTGAAAAAGGTGTTTTGAAAGTATAAGGCATGAAAATTTTAATGGAGTGATTTATACAACATAAATTCACTACATGCACATACAATAAACCCAATATCTGTAATGCTGATAGTTAATTGAATGTTTTCGAGCAAACATAGTTGAAAATTTGAATTCTCTCCCGTCGATTTGGTTGATTGAGAGATTTTTATAGAATTGGGTTTAATACCGTATTCATATTCTGAAAGTATGTTTGTGAGTTCTTGAGACACGAAAGATGGTGTGGAAGTTGGTGTTGACATTTTTAATAACGATAATAAGACAGGAAATATTTTTAGAAGAGATAATCAGCAGTCGAATTATGATTCGTGGAATTCATGTTTATTGACTATCTCTATGCCCAATTTAATCAGTTACACAAATCTAAATCCCGGGATTTACCGTATTTTGCTGGGGTTTGCGATATACTAATTAATCAAAACCATGTGAGATGCAATAATAAAAATAATACTGTTAGATTTGTGCAT